TTCTCATTTTTCACAGTTTGAGAATTGCATGTTGAGTAGGTCCTGATGCTGCACTCTCTTTTAATTGTAATCATGCGTATGGCAAATTCCAGCATTAATTATTTTATATAACCAACGAGAACTAAACCTGCGACCTAAGCTATAAAGGAAGAACCAGAGTACAATCCAAACCTGTTGTAATCTGTGGTAAATATTACAATCTTTATAATTCTACACATAGCGCCATCTATTTCCTCATTCCTACTGTTTTTAATTATTGTATTTCCTGTCATGGCGTTACGTATATGTAATAACTGTTCTGTGTTCGCAAGTTACAAAATAAGTATATCTACAAAATAGTACTGGTCTGTTTTGATTTAATAACTAATAAGTAATGTATATTTCAACAAAACCAAAAAAATGATCTCATCATTTACGTTACAACGTTTTTCTAAAAATAGCCCGAAGTAAAGAAATCAAACGTCTACTAACCGCCTGCTTTTATAGAGTCTGTTTAGTCTACGATTGAAGTAAGGCTTCCAAAACAAATGTAACATCGTTAACAAGCTGTAGTACGATCATCAATTTAAAGGTATGTTTTACTTTAATCGTTATGTTTCGTAAGAACTATAGTAAAATACTAGCGGACCTATACAGGTATGGTGATATAATATACATTAACTTAGCATTAAGGCATCGCTGAACCGATCAAACTGGAACAGCATTATATGTGGTTGCGATCCTCATCAGTGAGGGAACGAGGAAGGAAAAGATTAATCTTAGATAATTTATTTATAATAGAATGGCGCTGGTACGATTGTACAGATTGCTTTAAATTATAAGCTATTTTAAATGTCATTTTATAAACATATAAAAATAAAAATTTTAAATCTATTGAGAGTACCTAATATTTAGGTACTTTATTTTCTTAAATACTAGAAAGTTTATGATTACCATAATCAATAGGAATGAGTGTGTAGATTTTAAAAACATGAGTTTAAATAAAAAAGGAGTTTTATTTAAGAAAAAATTAAATATAAAGATAAATCTTTATGTCGTTATAACAGCTTAAACAAAAATTTAGAAGCAGTTGACGCAAAGTAGATCGTGTACAATATATACGACACGAGGCGCGCGAAACCGAAACAGCATCAAACGAGCTTCCAACGATAATTGCTTCAATCTGCGCTAAAACACGTGCCGTAGTATTTATTTATTTACTTTGTATTTACTGTAACATAGAGGGCGGCAAGTTTTCTAGTTATTTTTGGGTTTTCGTCACAGAGTACGTTATAAGAGCCGTTATTATTTGTATTTCATTGATATTTGACACTGTTTTACTTTTTTATTTAGTCAACTTTTTCTTAACAAGCTGGCTATTTATAATGATAAATTAAAAAAAAATTACAGCCGAATTGAGAAGCTCCGCCTTTTTGAAGAAGTCGGTTGAAAATTGCGAAGTATAATGTGTTTTATCATGCTACTATTATAAAGGATAGATATGACGTGGCGTAACATACAAGTTACTATTAATAATAAGAGTTACCAAAAGTTGATCTGTGTATAATATAAAAAAGATACATAAGGCTCCAGCGAAATGACGGTAAGTCTCTAGAAGTCTACTTAAATATTGATGCGTGTTTGATATTGACTTCTCACATAGTAGGTACGTATCATATACAATATCCTACATATGTACATAGTAATATATGTAATACAATATCTGTAAGATTTGATACATATCATTAGTAAAAGATATCGCGGAAGAATGATCATCACAAGTTTCATTACTATAACATGACAAAGATATAACTTGCTTTGTTAATTTTTACATATTTGATTAATAAAAGTTGTAGAACAAAAGTTGTATAAATCCTGAAAACGATACATATAGCGGTTTCAGTACAATATTTGTCTGAAGCTCCTAAACATAATGTCGACCGCGGCTAAACGTGCTTCCACTAGAGTCGCCATCGTTCTAACGCGATATAGGATAAAGCAATACCAAGATGTACGAGTATATATATATATATATATATATATATATTTATAAATTATATAAAACTTATAAATGTTCATTACATACACAAGATTTCTTACTCAAGCATGCAAAAAGAGATAAATAGATGTAATTATGTTACATACAAATCATGAAACGAAAAATTTTTTTAGAGGAAAAAGCCTGTAGGTGTGTGGGCGAGTCGCTAGTCTACACTACTATAATCTAATGAGGAAAGATTTGTATTTTTGTATGTTTTTAACGAATAAACTACTTTACCCAAACCGATTTAGATGAAATTTGGTAAGAAGATAGTTTGAGACCCTGGAAAGGCATATTATTCCGGAAATCAACTCTTAAGGGGGTGAAAATGGGGATGAAAGTTTGTATGGGGAAACAACCTAGGCATTAACCCGAGCGAAGCGAGGGTGAGTCGCTAGTTTCATAATAAACTAAATAAATTTTGCGACTAGGCATCAAACCATGCATATTTAGACGGTTATAGTTACAACGGATTTACCAAGTTAACTTTTTTTTTGTAGTTTAATTAACAATTTTTTGGCAAAATGTAGCTAAACTCTTAATCTAAAGCATCCCATTACATGGTGAATTCATGGTGGTAGTACAGCGGGTAGTAGATTGGCAAAATCGTGTGAAAACACGCGCGTGGTGCCCCGCGTCTCAGCCGTGACGCGGCTCGCTGCCGCCGCGCTGTTGCACTACTACACAGCACTTTCGTAGTCTGTTTGTACGTTTCATTTATTTTATGTTAGGAGTCCATGGCGTAGTTCGACCTTTCTCACTAATTTGATTCTTTTTACGTCGATTTTGCATTTTTCCTTAATTGGTTTTTGTTTTCTGTGATGTTTTTTGTTTGGACACTAATTACGTAGTAGAAGTGATGTATGATAATGGTGATCCTGAATTGGATAATGTTAATAAACCCTTATAAATTAATGTATGTTAACTGTATAGAATATTATAATTTTGAATACGAAAAACAAAATTTTTAATATATAAGCTCGCGTTGGAAATCTACAATATTAAAAAAAATAATATAAGAAGCTTTTAATAAGGGCCAAGTCACTACAAAATAAACAATGAAAAATGTCTAACACAGCCGTTCAACTCGTTGACGTCAACTATCAAAATAGATTCGTATTTCCCATAAATAACATAAAATGTAGAGAACATGATATACGAGCTCTACATTAAATACCTACGTGTCTATACAATGTATGCAAACAGTATAAAACAACGGCTTTATCCCGAGGCACGTAGAAGGGCGTGTCGGAGAGTGGGCGGGGTCTTCTATATGTGTTGGACGTTGGTATGTTTTACGTCGGTTCAAGTAGAGTTCGAGTGAGCAATGTCTCTACAGAGCTTTATGTATCAAATCTCTTGTAATACTAATATTAAAATCAAAGGATGTTCATCTTTTATTGCTCAAAATTTCATGATCACCTACAGCAAGTTTGGTTTTACGTATAGTTACAAATATACATTTATAGTAGATGTATGTATGTCTATACATATTTATATTTTCATTCAAATTCACTCTTTAAATTAGGACAGAAAGAATTTTTTTCTTTTATTCATGTTTCATTATATATGTATATTGAAAATATCATTTTTTTTAATAAGCAGTAATATTATTTGTTCGTTGGTACTATAATAAAATTCTTAATCTAGCGTAAATAAGAAGCCTTCAGTCATTGAGTCATGATGGTAATTAGGTACTAAATAATTGCCTCGGTGGTGTAGTGGCTAGCATGTACGGCTGCACACCCGGAGGTCCTGGGTTCGAGTCCCGGGTCGGGCCAAATTTAGTTATTGAGTTTTTCTGTATAGTAAGTTTCAGTAACAGCCCGGAGTTGGGAAGTTGGCGGTGTTTCACCCCCGTGACTCGGAGAGCACGTAAAGCCGTCGGTCCTGCGCCTTAACTCTCACCGGTCGTGTCGAGTGGTCGTCCCAACGGAGTATGAGAGTGATAGGAATAGAGAGTGCACGTTGTGTCTGCGCGTACACTTGTGCACTATAATATCTTCTGCGCAGTTGGCTAGTCTCAATGAGATTGGCCGCCGTGGCCAGAATCGGCTAGGAGAACATCATCACTAAATAAATAATCTAAACTTATTAATACTAAATGTAACAAAATTTATATTTTAAAGATATACCTATAATAGGTTACGTTATGCAAATATTACGCTCTCCTTCTTACTGTATGATTATTTATTTATAGTTTTACACATGATAAGTATAAGATAAATAGCGATTATCATTTAATTACACTTACCGAAACTAATTTATACACGGTTAGTCAAAACGTTCATAAGCAAGGGTCGAACCCAGGACATCAATGTAAAAATAGAGCCGCCACTGTCAAAGATTTCAAAATAAAAAGTAAGATTTTATTGCTTTAATTATAATATAATATATAGGTATATGTCATATAAAATGCGGATCCAAAAAATCTATCAGTTTCCAAAATAAATTAAATTTCTAAATAGCTAATTATTAAAACATGAGTTTGAATTATTATTTACAACTTTTTGCGTTTAACGTGTCCTTACCTGGGTACACATTATATAAAAAACGTTTAAAGGTCTATTAAAATATTTATACCATTAAAAATTAAATTAATGATGATACCCAAAAAGTAAATATTTTCTGCATTGTTATATTAAATAATTAAATTATTTATTAGGGCAAGATGACAAATTTAAGTTACAATTTATGACATCTGCAATGTTGGGATACACGATTAATGTTCATTCACCACCCATAAAGAGCCGCCATCAAACCAGTCATACTAAATAAACTCCTAAACAACGCGTGTAACATTCAAAAACAATGTTTACGGGCCATGATAAATCGAGTTATGCCATAATGTAACCCTAACCCAACCCTATGCTTAACACTTACGTGTTAAAAAGCTTTACAACGATTAAATCAGTCGAGTTGATACAAAATAGTTTTTATGTGTAAGAAAATACGAGCCAAGCGAAATGTAAATGTAAAAATGTTGATTTGCTCATATCAAATAGGAGGGGTTCTACGTCTGGGCGGAGACGGAGGCGGGGCCTGGCTGTCAGTCGCGCAGGCACCACAGTTCGGAGCGAGCGGCTCGCGATGCCGCACAGCTATGAGTCCTCCGAGTTTTGCAATACGAGATCTCCTGCCCGAGGCCTCCTCCCGCTCCCCCTCGCCCTCCGACACCGAGCTCGACGTCACCGGCACTGAGACACCACCGCCTGGATCCTCAAAACCACCAGATGAAAAAAAGAATGAAAAACCGGCATACAGCTACAACGCGCTTATCATGATGGCCATACGCAGCAGTCCCGAGAAAAGGTTGACTCTTAACGGCATTTATGAGTACATCATGAAAAACTTCCCATATTACAAAGAAAATAAACAGGGCTGGCAAAACTCCATACGACACAACTTGAGCTTAAACAAATGCTTTGTGAAAGTGCCAAGGCATTACGACGACCCCGGGAAGGGAAACTACTGGATGTTGGACCCGTCTTCCGATGATGTTTTTATTGGTGGTACAACTGGGAAGCTGAGAAGAAGATCGACTGCGGCATCTAGATCTCGCTTGGCTGCGTTCAAGCGGGGTGCGATATTGCATCCTATGTTTGGTAACCCTTACGCTTCGTTAGTGGGACTGTACCCTCCATTATTATCAGTATACGGAAGATATGCTTTACCTAGTCCACTGTTGAGGCTGCCGCCTCCTCCTCCTAATCCCTATCATCAGTTGTACCGGAGGATTCACGGGTTATCCCCACCGGTGAGTCCGTCCGACCCGGAGCCCGACTCCATGGTGAAACATAGTTGATCGAGCTGTCTTCCGATATCACTTGGATATCGTGACGAAGACCAGTGATAGAACTGTTCGAAGTGTCAGACTGTGATAGACGGACGCAAGTGTGTATTATATTCGTCTGTTTCTGTAAAAAGTGGTACCGCTATTTATTTATTTACGTAAGAATTTATTTAACGAATTAAATATAAATGTTAAGAGGCTAAATTTAAGTATATTGCAATAAAAGTGACTTCGAAAAATATCTATACGTATATTTTGTTTCATATTTATTTCGTATTTTCTAATAAGATATTGATTAATTATATATAAATCGTCAGATAGAGCACAAAATTGGTTCAACGTGACACGATAAAGTTTTATAATTTTCGTCAATTAGATATGTGCATACATACATACACATGTACATACATACTTTATTAAAATAATATGAGTTATTTTATTATAATAGCTATTATAATAAAATACAACAGGTATGTTTTCAGACCTTACACTGTCCTCTACTATACGCCATAGGTATTAACGGGTTGAGTTAAGTTAAATATTTAGTATGTACGAAGTTTTATAAATTATATAACTATAGTTAAAGACTAGGGACTCACCCTCGCTCTGCTCTGGTTTGTCCCTACTTACGGGTTAACGTTTAGTATAGATTTCTCAGAGATGAGATATTGTCCTACATAAAAAAGATATTCTATATGTTGACCCGGATAACCAGCTATCGTCATACCAAATTTTATCAAAATTCCTCCAGTGGTTTTGCCGTGATGAGATCACAGACAAACAGTGTCGGTCTGTCTGTCTGTGACCGCATCAGACACACAAACATTATAAAAACTATAGATTCGGCCTCTGGATCGATGATAATGTCTATTTCAATAAGATTTCCTAAAAATATTTAATGTACAGATTCGCCTTGGTTACAATTTTATTATATGTATCGTAATTATCTGTGATTTCAAATTATCAATATATTATTTATCAAGGTCATATGGTAATTCGATACGATACAATAACAAATACCATACAACCGTTAAAATTGCCTGTATCCTGTACCCGCTAATATTAGAAATGACTGAACTGATTTTTAAGGCACTTTTATTACTAAATAATTTAAAAAATATTTTTTATCTCTTTCTAATAAGTATTGAAATTTATATATACCTATTCATTAATAAAAAAAATAAGTTAAAGGAACTTCAATCAATATTACCAATAAAAATACAATTTTAATTATAATTTAAAAGTAAAATTGTATTTTATAAGGTACTCAAACATAAATCATAACAAGTCATTAAGGCACGTTAATAAAACAACAATTTGGTTAAATTACTAATAGTCATACAATATTTAATAATTTTATTTTGAAGATGCGGTAGATATAATAACGCTGCTGTTTTATAAAAAAATACAGCTATCAATAATATTAAATGGAAGTATATATATATATATATATATTATATATATATATATATATATATCAGGTCGATGTCGATATATTTGTGAAGATTTATAGTTTTACTAGCGACCCACCCTCGTTCCGCTCGGGTTCGTCCCTACTTACGTTTTTACGTTTAGTATAGATTTCTCAGAGATGAGATATTTTCATGCAGTAAAAATTATCCCATATGTTGGCCCGGATAACCACCTATCATCATACCCATCAAAATCCCTCCAGTAGTTTTTCCGTAATGCGGTCACAGACAGACAGACAAAAAATCGGCCTCTGTATCTATTATAACGACTTTTTCAATAAGATTTTCCAAAAAATATTTATTCGTTCGTTCAGATTCGTCTCTCACAATCAATAAGAATTTTATTATATATATATATATATATATATATTTGTAATGCTTTAATTGTGATTACATATTTGTTACAATTTTTATTATAGATATTATAAAGAATCCTAATGCAATACAAATCTCTTTAATTCTATATTTGATTGTTATAAAGAGATAGGTAGTTTAAAGTCCGCAGCTGCTGTAGCTTCCGGCGAAGATACTCGAACATGATTACCACAATAGTTTAAAAGTGGGATTAAAATCTACACAATTGGTAATGTTTTATCATAATTATTATTACAAAATTATTTTATAGTTAACGTTAAGTTGTATTATTACTAGCGATTTGCCCTTACTTCGTTCGGGTGCCTAGGTGGCTAACAATCACAATGGTAGCCCAGTGGTAACACGCTCGCTTGGTAAACCGAGTGAAGCGGGTTCAAATCTCGGGTCTCGCACCTCTGATATTTTCATTCCAACATAATTACTACTTGTCTTACGGTGAAAGAAAACATCGTGAGAAAACCTGCATGTCTAAGAGAACTTAACAAGTTTTCGAAAGTCATGTGCAGTCCGTGGTGGACTATGGCCTGATCCCCTTCGTATTGAAGGGAGGCCCACCCCCAGCAGTGGGACTTTAAAAAGGGCTGAATACTTACTTCTATATTCAATGTTATACAAATCCGTCCAGCCATGTCTGCATAAAGAAATAACAAACACACTTACAAACTTTCTCATTTGTAATTGTAGTTTAATTCTATACATAATAATACATACATATTATATGGTTCCAAATGACACAATGCTTCTAATACGATTTCTTTTTAAATTTTAGCTTAAATCAAAAATCTAAGGAATTTAACAGAGAAAAAACTGTGTATATTTATATGTAGCATATGTAATGTCTAGGTACTGGAGAGGGACCAATTCTAGTTCCTCTAATAAGAGTAGAGGATTCTGTGATCAGTTTATCCATCTTTTAATATATCTGAAGTATACACTTCGTTTGCTTAATAATACCTCAATAACGCAGTATACATAGACTCAGGATTGTTTTTATTTTTTTTAAGCATACATATAAGACTAAAGTTGATGAGTTAATAAGTTTACAACGGAACTCAACGCACTCAAAGATCATATTTGACCTGTTTTTTTTTCTAGTTAAAGAAATCGTTAGTTAATTATGACCAAACTGCTTCCAATGGATGATTAACGACGATCGAATCAAAACAGTTTCGCGACGGCTCAATCAACCGACAGTCGGTGATGCTTGATTAAGTTTTAAAAAAACCCAGTAATATTATATTGTGAAGCTTGTCACTCTGGTGTAGGAAAGGCGTTATAGCCTATTCAAAGGTCACAAGTTCGATTTTCGCATGAAGTAGGTAAATGGTATTGGTCACATATGTCTATTTCTCTTTTTGGTGAGGTTAGGATTGAGAAATGTTATTCAATAAATAAATAAAAAGTTAGATGGAGAAAGAATGATGATTCAGTAAAGCTTAGTTAAGTTTTTTTTTAAATATTTTTATTAAGTCTTTAAACAGCAAACTATTGGTTATTATTATTATGTTAAAGTAGTCAAGCCAAAACCAGACGATTTTGTTTTTTTGTTTATTGCTTAAGAATTACCCGCTGGCGACTAACCATTCACATTAAATTTGTCTGTGTAGGAAGTGATTTACCAAACCGGGAAGGTTAAGACTTAGAAATGAGACTTAAAACTTGGTCCCGGGGTTGGTGTTACTCTTTTCTTGGTTGAGAACAAGCGACCGTAAGCGATCCTGCGATGAATGAAATTAAACATTATTCAATTAGGCTTATGATACGCACTTTTGAATCGTCAATTTAATTAAAAAAGCGTCAGTGTTGTCAGTCCGTGAGGAAGCTAGCACTGGCTTGGAAGGCATTTCTGAGAAGAGCGAGAAAATGAAAATGATCTCAAAAATACACAAGCAAAGTCGCAGATAAAACTTATAATATATATAAAATGATAGATATGGTATTAAACCATTTTACAACATCGTCCTAGTCTAAAAGGAGCCTCTTAATTATATCGAAGTTGCTTCCGATGACCATTATTACCAGATATTATTACCATATCCAATCAAAACAATTTCGCGAATGCTCAATCAATGAGGGATTTTTGATTGACTTTTAAAGCAACCCATATTTATTTAATTAATAATTACTAACACGTCGAAGATGTGTGACGAATTGTATATGACTTCATTTATTGATAGTGAATGTAGGGTGTGTGCACACTGTGTAGTAAAATAAAGAAAATTTTAGAATTATCTTCTCGTTTTGAGCACGTTATCTTATGATAATAATAAATAAATATATAGTGACATTAACACACAACACCATCTAGTTTTATGGTAAGCTACGAGGCCTGTGTTATGGATACCAGATAGTTGATACACTACACATATATAAATTTAAATACATACATATTATAAATATAAACGCCCATGACTGGAGTACAATCATTCGTGCTCATCACACAAATGAATGCCCCCAGCGGGATTCGAACCCGCGACCGCTGCTACAGCAAGTATTGTCATTACAAAATGAACCTGCCTCTTTTTATACTAAGTTGTTGAAATTAAAATTAGTAGCATATCATATATATATGATGTCTTCCTAATTGATTCCAGCCACGGCGGCCAATCTCAAGGAGAGCAACTAACTGCGCATCGGATATTATAGTGTACGTGCAGACATAAGTGCACTCTCTATTTCTGTTCCTGACATACTATGGTGGGAACAAAATTCCAGGCGACCAGTGAGACATCAGGCGTAGGAACGACAGCTTCACGAGCTTTTCGAGGGACGGGGGTGGGACACTTCCAACTTTTTAACTCCGGGCTAAATCTCCGGCCTTTCTTAATAGAAAGACTCAATAACTAAACTTGGCTCGATCCGGAACTCAAATCCAGTACCTCCGGATCTGCAGCCCTATATGCAAGCCACTAGACCACCGAGACAGTTCATATCATGTAGGCTCCTATAAAAGACTTTCTTTAAAAAAACGCCATTTGTAAAAAACGCCATGTTTTTGGTAACCCAAAGATTTTTCTCTATCATTAAGAGAATTTATCATGAAAGGTTTATATATAATATTTTTATTTCATTTAAAAACTATATAATCGTTCATTTGGTCGAGGGCGCGTCGTTAGTCAATATAAAAAAAAATCTATTATTATTTAATCATTTGTTTTAGGA